CCCTCCCCTGAAAAACAAATCCCTCCCCCACCTCCCCCCCCCCCGCCGGTTCAACCCCCACGGCCTTGCAAACTGTTGCTTAAGGCTGTAAATGTTTTTTGCATCCAATCTCCATTTGGGTTTTATTTGCAAGCAATCCTGACGTGGATTTTAGCAAGGAGAAGGGGCCGAGCCCCAAATCTAAGGCCCTAAAGTGGCTGTTTCTTCTTCTCAAGCTCTCCCCAGGTAGACTTCCTCAACCTGGCAACCGTGATGCTCCGCCCTCCCAAAAATCTGCCCCATGGCAATCCTTTCATGACCTCCAACTCTCTCCGCTCCATATTTCAGGGATGAGGTGGCACACAGGCACAGACCCACAGGCACAGATACATGGGGCTTGTTCCCCCATAGCTGTGGGAACCCTTCTGCCCCTGGCCCCACTGCTGTGCCCCTAAGTTAGGACCCCTCCACCCACCATATCAAAGCTATAGGATCATGGGGGTGTTGCTATGGGGCTGAGCCGTGGAAAAGAGTGGGGGGGAGAAACCAGCCCCCAAAACTTTCCTTTTCTCCTTCTGGGGACAGGGCCTGCTAACAACCCACCCCCCAGCCAGCTCTGCCCCACAGCCACCTGCTTTCCTTTTCATAAACCTATTTCCTGGTCCACGCTTCACCAGCCCACCTGGGGGAAAAGGTGGCGGGCTTGTGTCATGGGGGGCAGATTCTGGCATGGGGGATTTCTGCCCCACAGCCCCTGATCTTCCATGCCAGAATCTGCACCCACGGGTGTACTGGGGGGGGGCTCGTTTTGCCACGAGGCTGCCGAAGCCAGCCCCCCTCCCCACATCGCTACTGTGCAATCCCCCAGAGACAGAGAACTGGGGAGAAAGGTGGGCATGACTCCCTTGCTCTGACCCAAGTGGGAGGGCATTGCACACACACACACCCTGCATGCCCAGCCCCCCAGCCCTGCTTCCAGCCCCCCAGCTCTCCTCCCAGCTCTTCTTCCAGCCCCCCAGCCCTGCTT